AGGCTGGTTTTCCTTATGATGCTTTTCACCTCTAGAAAAGGTCCAAAATACGCATTGTAAATGTAGTTGGATCCGCTTTAGCTGACAAACTTGAGCCACGGTACCGTTATTCTGAGGTTGCATCTCTTGCGATTTTTTTTTTTTTAACTTCTTTACTTCCAACAAGGCTGCAAACAACCACTATTAGAGTTAGAAGTGACTGGAAGAGAAAAGATGACGCTTAAGAATATAAAGATTAACAAACAACTTAAAAATTGTAAATTGTATGAATCAGGAGAAAACAAGATGAAGAAAGCGAATTCCAAAGAGCTGTTGCTCGACGAAAAAAACTAGACAAAATAGAATTTCTGGTACACTTAGGAACAATCACAGTAAAAGGATGAGGCTTATTTGAATGAGGAGTAACTCGAGAATGAATTTTAGAAGATGACACAAGAGACGCTAGCTCTTTAGAGCAGTGCGCATTATAGTATTTATAGAAAAGAGAAAGAGAAGCAACCTTACAACAATGTAATAATGGTTGGATGTTTGTTGCAAGAGCAAAACCAACTTTGTTTACCATGCGTTTTTGTTCCTTGTTTAAAAGAGAAAGGCATTATTAGAAGATCCGTCCCAGATATGCCAACAGAATTCTCTAATTAAATTTAGAAATTTTAATGTTTTAAAAAATAGATATTGAAAAGTAATTTCCTTCGACAATTTACAATGCCTGTATAACACTCTTTTAAAAACTTAGCCAACTTTTACTGATTTGTAATTTCTTATTTTGGTTTATACTAATATATTCACATAAAGTTCATCTTGTTTATTCAATCAATCTTCAACAATTTTGGTTCTGAAAATATTTATAACAAACTGGAGAAAGTCAAAGTTAATATTTTACTAATAAATGCTTTGATAATCATTTTATCATTAGATCTGAGATCAGACCCGCAAAAATACGGGTCTTTGTAAGTCTTTTCCAAACCGAACTTTTCTTTTTACTTTTTCCCTATACATTTTAGCTTTCCGGATCCGTAAAATACGGGTCTTAACCAAGCCTAACATTTCTATCCATATCTATTCTGCACTGATTAATTATATACCTATTCCTTATTTAATTCAATATTTTTTAGTAAAACAATTTATTCTGAAAAAAACATTCAAGAGTAAAAAACGTGCACCTTTGAAATTTTTTTAACAATGCTTATATACTTATAACAAAAAATCAATAATGTAGCAAAAAAGATTTCTAAAATTTAAAATAAAACTTTAAAGTTTTCTCATTTTATAGATATATTATACGCAATTATCTCTTTACGCTTACAAACGTTTGTACGTAACGCTACTCAAATGGAACTAAGAAGATCTTAGACCACTAAAATAGCTCATAAAAAAAAATGCATTCTAATCATAAAGTTTAGACAAAAATGTTTTGCGCATTGACGTTGGTTTGTGGCGAAATAAACCTTTATGCGTCAAGGTTTCTTTTGCATCTTACATTTTTTGATTAATTTTAATTGTTGCATACAATTGCATAAAAATATATAAAACCAGTACAAATATATCATTTCACGGATAAGAGGTGGTATTTATTATAATAGTAATAAATAAATAGTTTTTATCTTTAATAAAATATATCCCATAAAAATATATTCCATCTATCTTTTATAGGAGTTTTTTAAAAAATTTAAATCAAATTTTTTCTTGTTTGTTTTTCTATTTTTTGCCACAAAGTGATGTCACATACGCAAATAAATTGTGGCTTCTAAGATTTACGAAAAAGCCTCGTCTATGATTTTTAACGGCCTAAGAAGCAGATAACGTAATTTTAGCAACCAGAAATTATCAAGAGAGGGGCAAATCTTAAATTGAAGTTTCGAAATTTCCACTTGGATGAGACAATATGTTTCGTTTTTTTTTCAAACTTGTCAATTTTTTAAAATATAAATAACATACATACAAAAAATCAAAACAAAACAGCATGACCAAAAAAGACTCGTAATTATTAGAAAAGTTTACTTATATTACATACAATCCTGAATAAAACGTTATAAGTGGATTTTTTTCATTTTATAAACAATTTACATAAACAAATAACATATTTGTTTATATATATCGTTTATATTGGGATGGTTAAGCGCTAAACCTACCTCTACAATAAAGTTTAAAAAAAAATTAGTTATATATTAAAAAACGATTCATATAATGTTATTAAATAGATATTTTCAAAGAGTTCTGAAAAAATTCATAAAAATTATTCGCTTCAAAAAACGTTTTACAAAGAGTTTTCCTGACAATTTTTTTAAATTGCGTTTTTCTTGAAATACGTAATAAGCATATTAAAGCGTTTTGTAAAACAGCTGCAGCATATATTTATAGTAAAAAAGTAAATGTAGCAAAATAAACTTTTAATTGTCAAAAGAAAGTTTTAAAGTTTTATCTAGCTACATGCTTTTTTTTTTGCCTCCACAGCAGCATCTTCTTGAGCAGCAGGAGTTTCTCATTAAGTTTTTTCTTCATTAAGTTGCAGACAACTTTTAGCTTATTAGGACTAATTATCTGAGCATATCAATAACATAAGTATCTCAATCGTGACACATACGGTAATATTTTTTTTGATGTTTTATTATGAATTTTTAGCTTTTTTAAATCTTTTCTTTTGTAAAAGTGTATAATATCGATATGTCGATAATATCGATATGTCGATAATATCGATATGTCGATAATATCGATATGTTTGTATAAATCTCTATAAGACTTCAATAGTATTTTTTATTTTAAAATAATCAAAAAAAATTAAAAAAAAAAAAGTCGCAAGTGGTAGGAATCGAACCTCAGCTTACTTGTTTGCAGAAAACACCATATACATACAAAAAACAAACAACATATACAATACAATATATAAAATTACATAAGTAATATACAACACAATGTATAAAAATACTTAAGCATGCAAAACACATTACTTGATACTGATCCTGTTGGTGCTTCTGTGGAAGGAAAAAATAATAATAAAAGAAATGTTTAAACCAACATTATAAAACAGAAATGTATTATAGTGAAACTTTGCTTAACATTTGATTTTTCTAATGTTTCTAAAAATAAAAACTAAATTTATTAACAATAACAAAGAAAAAATATATAGAGTATAGAATAACTAAAAACCTTAAAACTAAAAAAATGTTTAGTAATATTTGCAGAAAACAAACAGCAACAAAATAGAGAGAGAAAAAAAAAATCAATTTCAATTAAAAGATATAATCACGTAATATTCATATCTCTTTATATCTAAAACAGATCAAAAACACTACCAACAACAATTAAGCACAAAAAAAAAAAAAAAAAAAAAAAAAAAAATCAACAAAACATATTCACTTACTAAGTTGTTGTAATATAAGATCTAAAGGAAGGGGCAAAAAGTTAACTAAAATAATCAAAAAAACCATAGAATAGACAAATCAAATATATTTAAACTTAGTTTACCAATTGAATCGTTCAAAAACAAGTAAAAAAGCTTATAAACATTAAAATAGAAATTAACCTACCGAATATAGAATATATGTTATTATTTATGAAAACTAAAAAATGTATAATATGTTTGCACACAAAAAAACAAAATACAATAAAAAAAATTGCTGACTTAGTTTGTCCATTACTTTTGCTAAACATTGCTGACTTAGTTTGTCCATTACTATATATATATATATATATATATATATATATATATATATATATATATATATATATATATATATATATATAACAACTTTATCAAATATTTGCCTATTCAAACAGTAAATTAAACAAAATAGCTAATTTTGTATGAAAGCTGTTAGTCTAAAGAATAAAATAAGCTAAAAAATTTCGCTGAATAAGGGTGAACTTATTACTAAAAATGCCACTTAACTTACGTTACACGGAAAACTAGGTAAAAAAACTGCTTCAACTTTTAGGTCAGATTTCTGCGAATCAGTAAAGCGGTTTAGATTAGAAACTTTCACAAGATGTAAAGAATTCTATGCTAATTTAAAAAATATAAAAAATTTTATCATAGATGACCGGGTAAGGAAAATAAACTGGTTCTTTTGATACTATGTATGGTTATATATTAGTATATATATGGTTATATATATGGTTATGCATGGTATATATATGGTTATATATTAGTATATATATGGTTATATACTATGTATGGTTATATATGGTTTTTTTGATACTATGTATACATCACTTACGTTACCTTGCGATTATTATCGTGGATTTTTACTTCTATTATTTTGAGTAAGAGTTTACATAACTGAACAATTGAACTCATTCATTAAAAATAATTAACAAAGGAAATTTTAAAAAACTGGTGGCACTCTTCCTGAGTGATTTTTCATAACATTTATAAAACTTATCGAATCGAAAACAGTTTTTCCGCAAAACAAAAACTTTGAAAAATTATTTTAGTATTACAACTTTTTAATACAAATTTGAGTCGTTTAAATATAAAAATCTTTGGTTTCTCAAAGTTTTTACTTACACTCCTTACGTTTATGCCATAATATTGAATTTTTAAATTGCTGCAAAAAAAAATTACATTTAAATCTTTTGAAGAAAATTTCTTTTTTTTTGAAGAAAATTTTTTGAAGAAAAGAATTTTTGAAGAAAATTTTTTTTAATTTTGAAGAAAAACTTCTATCACAGTTTAAAAGGGAGAGGGATTCAGGTATATGTGATCGTTTATGACAGGAGGGATGGGGTTAAAAATTGATAAATATAGGTTGACATGCTTTATGGATGACTCATAATAGCATTTACAAACCATTTGTTTTACTAAAACAAAAACAAAATTTTTTTTTTTATATTTAGGAAAATAGCAAATAAATCTGTTTTTTAAATGTCTAAATACAAATATTTACATAATTCTTATTTTTATTTATTTGCGTATATTTATGTCAAATAAAAAATACATAAACAAATAAAAAAGCAATAATATAAATAACTTTAATTAAAAATTAACATTAAAAAAAATAAAAGATTTTTTACTAAATTCTCCTAATATAAAAAGTTCCAGTTAAAACCTTGTCAACGAAATAATAACTTAATGACGTAATTAATTTTGTTAACGAAAGAGCGCCAGAACTTATGAAAATGTTTGTAGTTTTAACTTACGTTACACAGGGGCAGGTTTAGCTTTTTAAAGAGGTTAGTCAAAAAAGTCGGTTGCAGATTTCACCGCCCCCTCCCCACGAAAGAATGGGGGGAGGGATGAAGGTGAAATACAAAAAAAAGCACCTACCCCATTTGTTTAATAAGTTATTTGTAAAAGCCTTCAAAAAAGCGGCTCAAAATGCTATTGCATATTTAAAAAATAGACACAACAAACTAAGTAAAAACAAGTTACTATAATAGCTACATATTATTAAATTACAAATTTAATACACAGTATGATTAAATTATAACAAAATATTAAAACATTTTTTTCTAGGTATGTAGTTTTTTAATTTAAAAAGTACCAAGTGAAAAGTGTTCTCTGCTTTTCACAAGTAATCATACGATCAAATAATATTTTGCACTTGAAGATATAGTTAAAGATATAGCGATAATAAAATAAAGTTTAATTAGTATGACTATCATACTATGAGAAATGCAATAACACAATAGCAATAATATGATAACTAACCATAAAAACCCATTTTGTTATTTTATTCCATTGATAGATGTTATATAATGTTAAACAATTGTAATATTGATGTTAGTAAACAAAGTTATGCTTAGAGTTAATGTGTTGCATGTGTTTATTTTCTCTAAACTGTTGACTATTGATCAATAAAGTAAACTTCAAATAATGAAAGCTTACTAAATTAAAACCATATTTCAACTCAAATAACAACATCAAGGTAGAGCTGAAAAAAAGGAGAAAAGGTATATAACAATGTATATAATGCTCCTGATTAAAATATCAAAGATACAGTACATAACGGTACCAGTTTCGATTAACATTTGACAGGTAAATCTAAAGATAAGTAGAGAAAAAAAGAATACAATAAAAATTAGACATGTTTAAATTTATAAAGATAACAAAACTTCATGAAAAAAATAAATAGTCTTTTTAAATAAAACTATAACTAAAATAAAATAAATAGTCTTTTTAAATAAAACTATAAAAAATAAAATAATTATATTTTATAATTTAAAAATTGTTAAATTACACAAACTTTCTATTTGAAGAATATACTGAATAAAGGTTTGCATATACAGTGTATATACAAACCTTTATACAGTATCTAATTCACAATGTAAAAAAACCATAAATTCTTCCCTAACATCATAAGAATAATTCTTCCCTAACATCATAGGAATAAGTCTATAAATCTAATTACCAAGGAAAATTGTTCCTGATTGGATGTATCATCAGCAATAACTGAAAAAAATTGATTTTCTTTTATTTCAGAAACCAAAATATTCTAGATGTACTTTCCACAACAACTTATTAATTCATTCTGTGACGAATTAGAAATATAAGATGCATTCTTTGCACAGCTGTTAAGATGAAGTTCAAGAACTTTATCCCCACCTTTGATTCTGTAGTTTAAAAGTTCAATAAAATTACCTACTCCACCCACTAAAGAATATTTGCCAATGACCATCACAATGCCCTATAAAAGTTATATTAAGTCGGCCTAAGAAAATGATTGAGTCAATAATTGGGCGCAACTTCTCACGATTTAAAGCAATCTCCTTTTCATATTCTTTATTAAAATATCTATATTTTAAATATTTCCATTCACAGTATTTAAAACTGCGGAAAATATGGTCCAGGTAGAATTTGTACTGCGTGATGGTGTTCATAATTATTTCGGCTGAGTGATGTTCATAAATATTTCCTTTTTTCCCATGATAATGTCTATAAAATGAGCTCACAGCTTCTAGCCAGTATTTGAGTGGCTGAGAATACAAATTTTTAAATCTAGAAGCTTTTCAAGGGTATTTATATCCAAACAAAATGCAACACAAACATAATGCTCCATCTTCAGAAGGTAAATATCTAAGCCATGAAAATTTTTTAACCATAAAAGTTTGAAAGTTCGCCTATTTGTTTTTGGAAAAGAATAAGTTTTGTCAAGAAAAAAAACATTTCAAATCAAATTTTATATTTGTAAATCTTTCAAAGTAGAAGCCTTCAAACGAAAACATGCAATATCATATTTACTACAGGGGTTCATTTGACAATTTCTTTTAAGCGAGACTCTGCTCAGAATTTTTCAGTGGATAACATGCTTTTGTCTTTAGTTTTAGAACTATTTTCATTTGATGATAATGTATTTGGATAAAATGATTTTGAATCAATAAAAGAATGACAAACAATATTTTTATGAGAGGAAGAAGTACACTTTTTGTTGACAAGAGTACATGAAACAGTTTTATCATTAATGGTAGATATAGATGATACCTCATTCATATTATATTTTTCTGCCAACATATGAACTGTTGATTGATTGGTAAAATTAACTTTTTTACAAATTTTACATTTTAAACTTTTCTAATCTGGAAGGAAAACGAGAGGCACATAATGATTGTGTTTATATGGACATGGAGGGTTTATTCCCTCAAAACAAAACAACAAATTAACAATATCTGACGATGAACATATAATACGAGGTTCAATATTAAGATCAAACATAATTTTATATTTTAGAAGAGAACTAATTGTTCTACAGTAACACTGAACTCTTGTAGAACACACAGTTGAAAGTGCAAGAACACAAAGAAATCCAGACCATGCAAACTCTTTACACATATCCTTACAAGGTCATCATTTAATTTTCCTGAGTCTATAGAATGTGTGGATACAGACACTGTTAACCATTTATCAATTGATGAAAACTCATTTGGATACTTTGAGTACAAGCTTACAAACGCTGGATGATTATTGTAAAAAGAGGCATTTAAATATAAATCAATTGCTGTAAGTATTCTTAAATCATTTGCCAGATTATTATCATCACACAGATAAATCGAAAATGAACTAAATAAGCAATTGCCAGTAGATTCAGATTTGTAAAAAGGGCAATTAAAAATTTTTAAGGTAAAAAAAGTTCTACAATAAGCTCAATGGAAAATAAAATTGGATTTAATCATTTATTTACAATAAATCAGTTTGGTTAAAAGTTGAACCAATTAGATCAAGGCAAAAAATATATTTCATAATATTATTACTATATAAATTTACATCCCCAAATGAAGGAACGCAGGGATAACATGTTTACAAATTTTAAATTTAACTTTTTATTTTATTTTTTGGGATAAATAAAGTAAATCTTACTTCACCGCCATAGTTGTTCTTGACTGGCATTCCTGAGCGCAATTTTTGAACTCAACAGAAAGACTCAAAAGAAACTCAAGCTCAACAGAACTATTTCTCTTTATTGACTTATTAACAGTCAACAACTGATAAAAAATCTGACTTATGAAGGAGATTAATCTTTACTGACAATTCTGAATAAAGAGTTTGTAAATTTTCGATAAATCCATTTTCAAGCAAATACCTTACAGATCGTAGAGAAATGCACACCATATCAAAAATTATTTAAAAGTCATTTAAAACATTCAAAGCATTATTTTTAGAAAAATAAGTCGCAAGATTTTTTTGACTAACTTGGCCTTAAGTTACGTTACCGAACAGTAAAAATAAAAAAATTTAAAGGACATAAATAATTTTTTAAAATCTCGTCAGCCGAATAAACGGGCCAGATAAGTCGCAAGATTTTTTGACTAACTTGGTCCGAAGTTATGTTACCGAAAAAAAAATTAAAAACCGCGCTCGACGCGGACTATTACGTGCGCATATACTTATCATAGTTTATTAGGTATTGCTGTATAGACCAAAAAAATAGAGATTTTATTTCATTTCAAAAATTTCAAAAATATATAACATATTTCATTAGCCTGATCGTTGTTTAGTTTAGTAAAAAAGACGTTAGTCAATGCGCCTAACAAGACTAATCCTAAACCCGCCCCTGCGTTACACAAATTTAAAATGAAATTGTGCTCTAACTAAACATTGTTTTTCAAAACTTTAAATGCAAAAATTTTATATTTAATATTCTTTTGCATATATTATTACAAAACTTAAGTTTTTTAACTAAATTTTATAACAAACAAAACTTTATCATGTCCTTGTTAACTTACATTACATGAAAATTGCAAGAGTTCATTCGTTATTTTCTTAGAATATGTATATTTTATTAAGTATAAAATCTGACCAACAACAATTTGAACATGTTAGCTCCATTTTCACGCAAATTTAATTCCGATAATGCAAATAAATTCATGGTTAGATTAACATTTTACAATGATACCTTTTTTATCATGCGACAATGAGAAAAACCGGCCTTAAAAATTTGAAAATAATCTTCAGTCACCGATAAAAACAAAAATTTTCAGTTTAAACAAGTTTTACAAACTGTCGACCTATTAAATCTTGATTTGCTAAAAAGGAACTTTTCGTTTATTTCTTAACAAAGCTTTGGTTTTAATTATAGGATTTACTATGCTGAATATATGTTTTATACTTTGCAAAGTATAAAACTTATATCAGCATATTAAATCCCATTGAAATTTTGATAAAACAGCCTAACCCTAACCTAACAGCTGTTAGAAAATGCGCTTTTGACCGCAAGTCAAATGCACATTGACTTGAACATGCATAATTTGCATGCCGAATAAATGGAGGAGGGGGGGGGGATATGTTCAATGCCCCTCGTTTATAAATTTCAGAAAAGATCTCCCCCTCCCCCCGTATATTAACTCCCCCCTCGTGTGTATTTAAATTCCCACCCACCCGTTTATTCCCACCCCCCGTTGTATTCGGCACTCGAGAGTAATTAACGAAAACTTTCATTTTACTCCAAAGTTTAGTAATTAAGTCAGTTTTTCGCTTAAATACGTTTTTATAAAATTATAGCTTAAGGGGGAAAACCCCTCAAAAACTTATTTTCTAAAGTAAAGCATTAATAAAGTTATTACATGTTCCAAATAAAAGTATACTAAATGTTAAGAAGATCTATCATAAAAAATGGCACTCTGTTGCCATGGCAACGCGGTTACTAAGGAAAAATGTCAAATTAGTCTCTTCACCCTGGCAAAGATTGCAGTCAATTAAAATGATACTTTGAGCTGATTTTCTTCTAACTTATAGTTAAAAGATAGATCTATGCAATAAGCAGACAGTTTTTGAAAATAACTTTTTTGTCAGGTAGTAGGCCTGTTTAATTTTGGCAAAAATTTTAAGCACAAAAATGATAGATGTTTTTTTTAATTTCTTTAGTTTAAAAAACATTTTTAAAAAGTTGTCTGCTCATTGCATACATCTTTATGAGAGGAATACTCCCTGAAAATTTCATTAAAATCGGTCAAGCGGTTCTCAAGATACTTCTGCCGGGAGATTAAAAACACGCGTTCTGAGAAAAATGCCAAATAAGTTGAAATTGTGATGAAAAATATTATATAATAACAAAGATACAAAAAATATAATATAAAAAGAGCATACTGATTGTATTTTTTAATCATGAACACCAGCCCCATACAATTTCCCTTCTTTCTGTTCAACTTTGTCAAATTTTTTAAGCTTGCGGCTTTTTAAAATCTTCCTTTTTTTTTTGATGGTGTCTTGATTTTTATAATCTGACATCATAACTCTTTTCTGGTTTAGGTAATTGCATCCAGAAATGGTATGTTGCCCTGGTATCATATTAAGTCTTTCAAATATAAGTATACTAGACTTTAATCCTATATTAAAGGCACCAATAGCATCATAGAGTCCAAACTTCAATTGCGTAAGCGAAACATACTTTGACTTAGGTATTCTAGACCATATCATTGCATTAAAACTTTCATTTTGATTCTGTGTTCTTCCATGAAGCAAACGATTTAAATAAGCATCTGATGTTAGTTCTACATAAATGGGCTTTAACTTGTTTACTATTTCAATAGGAAGACCTGGTCCGGGTTTATACTCTTTGGTTCCATTAGCTTTATCTTGATTGTATTTACACCAACTATCTTTTCCTGTGGGACAATGCGGATAATGCCAATTATTTTTGCTTGAAGATGCTACATGAAATAAGCTAGCCAAAGCTGAAGATCTCATACCTTCAAGGTTTCCACAATTTTGCCTAATGCAAATACCAAAATAATTTTGCAACCGATCAATTGTAGCATTTGTTAAACCGCCTTTACCATTTAAACCCTTGACTTGCTTTTTTAATTGTCTACAACGAGATCCAATGCGCTTTTGAAAATGTCCAATACAATCTAGTTTAATTACTTCAATACCCTTGTATTTGTTTTTGACAGAAGTGTAGCTTTTGCTATCACCATCACCCAAGTATTCTGTGTATCGTAAATTAAATTTTTGCAAAGAGCGATTAAATATCTTTCTTGCCCCAACTGTTTCCATTCCACCGGCTGATCCTTCATAGTTTTTATTGCAAATATGTGATTTTTTTGCTGTTAGCTGCTGCTTTGAATTACCAACATCTTGATTTTTGTCACATATTTTACACTTTCTAGATAATGCTTCAACATCTAAAACCTTCCCATTTTTAATTGATAATGCTGCCGTCACCCCATTGTGTGAATTAAATCCTCTTTTTTGCCATGTTCCATCAACAGAAACTCCAATATCTAAGATCTCATTAAGAGATTTGCCTTCTCTGAGTTCTTGTACAGCTTCATTCATAGTTTCAACAGCAACAGTTTGTGCTGCGGTTGCCAATTTTTGAACAATAACATTATAGCTTTTATTGCATAATCCTTTTGGGATATTCATAAGAGTGGCAAACCGATGTAGACCAGCTTGGCCTTGACCAAGTGTTCTTATGGCATACACTAATCTTTTGTTAACATCAAACCCTGCTACATTTTTTGATGTGTCAAAGTCTAACTTGAAACCACAAACACAATTTAATGATAAATTTGATGCATATCCTTTGCAAGACTTTTTATTTTCGCTTAACGACAACTGGGATGGTCGCAAACATTCTGAACACCCAACTTTATCAAAAATGGAAGCAAGAATTTCTAAATCAATAAACCTGTAGCCACTGACACATTTTGAGTTTCCACTTGGAACCATTAGTTGCTTTACTTTTTTTTTGATGCACTTTTAAATACACTTTTACTTTCAATATTTACAGAGTCTACCATATTTTCATTATTACTATTTACATTATTTACACCAATATTTACACATTTTTCTTGCTTTCTTAAACCAGAAAATGTACATTTACGTTTTCGAAGACGTTTTGTAGAAAATTTTACTCCATCACTTTTATATTCAGTTTTAGACTTGTCCATTTTTTTTATTTATATAGAAAGCTTGAGCTGATTGTGTAGAAGCTTGAAAAGATGACTAATTTTAGCACTATCAGTCAAATATGTGGTTTTAAAGTATGGCTTTAGAAATAATGGGAAGCATTTCAAACTAAACTGCAAAAAAAAAACCGGATAAAAAGCTATACTAGATGTGTTTTATTCACAGTTTTTCTGTAACTAGGGGCGTTGCTAGGTAATTTTGAACTCAGGTGGTTGTACAAAAGTGTCATTTATTGATATAAAAAATAGCTATTTTCAAATATAGTTTTTACCATTTGATTTCTTAATAAATTTACTTTTAAAATATCTGGAAAAAAAAATTAAAAAAAAATTTTTTTTCTGAGAGGTTTTCCCCCTTAAGGTGGTACACCGGGGAAAAAATAAATATTACATAAAATGTATCTTTTTGATGAAAACTTGTTTTATTAAAGTTTTATAATTATTTTTATTTAAAAAGATAAATTTTAAAACTTATGAAAATTCATAATGGCGGAAAAAAGATCAACAAAGACTGTATTTCAAAACGTAATATCTTGATCTAGTGAATAGATTATGGATTGAAAATTGGTACAGTTATAAAATAACTTATTTTACACCGTTTAACCCGTGCGTTTTTAAATTTTTTGAAAATTACGCTTTTTATCACGAATTTACTAAAAAAAATGAAATTTTTTGACTTCCTCTATAGATTTATAGCAATACCTTTTTATCTAACCAAATCCAAGAAAAATCCATGGATCAACCGGAGCATCAATATTAAATAAACATTTCCTGAAAATTTTAGCTCATAAACATAATTTTTACTAAAGTAATCATGTTTTGAATTTTAAAAAACCCTAAAAAAACATTTATGCAAAAAAAACAAGAAATAAAAAAGAATAGATCATTTTGAAGTGTTAAAACTTTTAAAAACCATCAGCTACATAAAATTATTTTTTCTTATCCTGTTCAACATCACGAGAAACCATTTTATTTGATCTTAAAGATTTTCTCCTACTTTTTCCTTCATTATTCGATTTTAAATTCATTCGTTTAACATGAGCAATATTTGCTTAAAATGATTTTTTACAAGTTACTGAACCGATTAAGCCATAATACTTTAGTACATTTAAGACACCATTTGCACCATCATTGTAATGGATCACTGCTAAATGGACAACCATTTCAAGAACATTTTTTCTTACAAAGTTGTTTTTGGGTACACGAGACCATATCAAAGAGTTTAATGCTTCATTACCATTCTGAGTTTCACCATGCAGGCATTTTTTGAGTAACTCATCAGCTTGTAGGTCTTGAATAATAGGAAGAATTAAAGTCTTTA